AAAACCGCATCAAAATCCGTTGCGTAGTTTTAAAGATCTAAGCATACATACGGACATACAGCGAAAGCGACTTTGTTTTATACTATGTATTGATGTATTATATGTAGTCTGTAAGTTTAATTGATTCTTTAATTTGTTTTTTATTGTTTTTCTTCTATTTTGGTTTTATTTTATTGTGCATCTACCACCCATTCCCAGACTCTTTTCAAAAATACCATCCAAAGGTTGTCTAGAAGAAATCGCCGCGTGTGATAAGACCGCCCATTGTACTCAAATTACTATTGCAATGTTTACAATTTTTTCTATGTGTGCAATAAAGTATAAATAAATAAATAAATAAAAATAAAAATTAGGCATCTAACCTATTCAATTGTCCCCCATCCCCATTGACAATTACCAATCCTCAAGCTTCAAATCCCCTAAAAGGTTTGGCAACGCTCTAATAACTCCTCTGCAGATGTTCATGGGTGGAGCTGACTACTGTTTACCATCAGGTAATTCCGCTTTTATGATTGGGAGACCCGATCTTATGATCAAGTTTGAAAAGAGATAAGTAGCTATTAAAAATATTATTTCCCTAAAAATAAACAATAGATTTTATTTGAAAAGTATTATTATTTTATAATATAACATCATCACGGTTTTTATCCCCGAAGGGGTAGGCAGAGGTGCATATTACGGCACTTAATGCCACTATACAATGTAACACTCACTTTTCACTATTTATGTCATGAGTCCCATGTAATAGAGGATCCTTCGAATCGAATTCGAATCCTTCGAGGATAAAAGGCGTGATGTTATATTGTGTGTGTATTCCGATGCTTTAGCCTAATCAGAACATGATAAACATGTGATTCATTTTACCTTGCATGGGTCCTCCTTTAGCGATATCATGTACTTGTCGAGGGTTTAAAATGTACTGCAGCTTTCGTAAAACCCTGGATCCTTGTCGTCCTCCAGACTTGGGATTGATGAACACGAGTAGGGGGCATGACCCGTCAGGGGGGGTGATCTGAAAGGAGATGGGAGGTGCTCGAGGTTCGCGCTTCTCTCTTTCTTCTTTTTTCTCTTCTGAAGATGCTGCTATCGATATAGGCAGGGATATCGAGGTGGGTAGTGATTGCTGTGAAGAATTAGTTGATAAGTTAAAGGTAATATATGTTTTGTTTATCGCATATATTAGTGAAAAACATACATTGTCCTAACTATTATAAAAAAAAAATCATTTACAATAGTATCTTTACATTTCACTAGCTGTTGCCCACGACTTCGTCCGCTTAGAACATGTATTTTAGAACATAACTTCTTTTGTCTCAGTATTCCAAAATAAACGTAGCCTATGTTACTACATATATGTAGTAAAGTAACATATATATAGTAAAAAACAAAATCGGTCCAGGCATTCCAGAGACAGACAGACAAAACATTGAAACAATGTTATTTTGGTAAGTACCTAAGTAAAGTATTGTATGTATATTCATTCATATGCATGCAGTAAAAAGCGGTTATTTTAATATTACAGATACATTTTTTTATCTGTATAGATTTTAATTAAATGCAACAGTTTCAGTTCAGGCAAAGATACGTAAAGACATTTATATTTGCCCCTTCCTCTCTATACTTATCTAAATTGTACAGGAAAATGTTTTCTTTGATGCCTTATGATTTTTTTTTTAATGTGTAAATATTTTAGTTTTAAAGTATTTTTTTTATATTTCAAGTTGTAAATATTAATATGTTAGTTAAGTAATATTATTATGTTAGTTTATGTACTTAAAACTATGAAATATATATATTAAGGATTAACTCGTCGAGTACCGTCATTATAGACACAATTATAGAACAATAGGTTGCGGTCACCGGTGACCGCTTGGTGTTTGACAGTTTAATTGAAAAAAAATATTGTACATTATGTTTAAAGATTAATGGAAGTATTTGAATGATGTATCTACAGGCTTTAACTTGTAGTAGCACAAAGTGCCTACCTGGTCATTCTGCGGGCGATGTGGCAGCGACCTCTGTCGGTCGAGTACGAGCGGCCGGATGGCGGTGGGCGGCAGGATGTGGCGCGCGTGGCGGCCCAGCGAGCACGCGCCGCCCGCGCTGCCCACGCAACGGTTGTGCAGCTGTACAGGTGTAGTACACTTGGTGAAATCGTGTATGACATATCTAGCTTCTACATGCGGCTTCGCCCGCGTTTCCGTGGGATTAAAAGTATAAAGCCTTTGTGTTATTCTGAACTGATACGACCTTCAAACCTTCAAGAAAAGGCCGACAACGCACCTGTAGTTCCTCATCATAACATCACGCCTTTTATCCCCGAAGGGGTAGGCAGAGGTGTACATTATGCCACTGTACAATGTAAGACCCACTTTTCACTATTTATGTTATGAGACCCATGTAATAGGGGGTGAGCCTATTGCCATATACCGGGCACATTTCCAGACTCCGTGCTACTACTGAGAATTTTGTAAAAACTTTGCCCGACCCGGGAATCGAACCAGAGACCCCTTGCCCGGCAGTCGCACTTGCAACCACTCGGCCAACGAGGCAGTAATTCCTCTAGTGTTGCTTATAGCTTACCATCATTCGCATTTGTGATATACGTCAAAACGACTGAAAAAATCAGAATGAAATTTGGAACAGGTTTATATCACGGTCTTTTTTATAGAATAAAAGGCAAACGAGCAGACGGATCACCTGATGGTAAGCAATCGGCGTCGTCCATGGACACCTGGAACACCAGAGGCGTTACAAGTGAGTTAAGGCCTTTCGGAGATTAGGAATTAGGATTGTTGGTGATTCAGGGATCGGGGAGATTGGAGAAAGGAGGGGGGGGGGGGCAATTGGGCCTACTGCAACTTCACTCGCACGTTGATATACAGCGCAAGCCTTGTTTCACGTCGGTTTTCAGTGAAGACCGTGGTATCACTCCAGTCGAGCCGGTCCAATCGGTCGAAGCATGGCTCCCACACTTAAGCTGTGTTGATTTATTGGTGTTTATAGTTCGTACTCACAGTGATATGACACCAGCGACAGTGCAGTCCAGTGATACCGTTGTAGCCCTTGATCTTTTTCCGACATCGAGCGCATTTGCCGTGGCAGTTGCCTGGATAATAAATTGTGTAGTTTTTAGTCAAAAACCAATTATTTGAAGTTTTCAATACAAAAAATATACAAAAATCTTCTTCCTTATCTTATTGTTGGAATGCCCGAATAGTTTCGAGCTACACCAGGGCCTTTAGTGTTACGAGATTTTGGTTAAGGTGACATTTCACCGGGACACCATGGCAGCGCAACCAGTCGCCACCACCAATGAAATGTATGCAGCTCTATAGAGAGATACTTACCTGGTTTCCGATTGGCTGCGCAACCAGTCTGGCGGCGGTATGGGGGGGGGGGGCTTACTCTTGAATCCAATACCGATATCAAGATTGAAGACATTGGGTATTGTAAAATTTCGTACTCTCGAGTTGCAACACTAGCCCCCATTGCATCCGTATTGCGTGAATTTTGAATGAACTAAATGGTATTGAGTTTGGCTTTATATTCCGTACTTTGAATGCTATTGTAACAGCTACGGTTGTGGTTGTATAGTTTTGATATTGAATAATTATTGACATTTTATTGGATGGAAATGGCATTGACATTGGTTTCAAGAGTTAGCACCCTGTTCGGACGCCAGCATTTTTTTTTAAGGGGGGGAAAATCATCAAATGACTGCTCCCGCCTGGGTGAGGCGAGAGGGAGTGTCAGACTCTTACTGACTAAAAACCGCCCCGTTCCTTCTCCTGCACGTCGAGCCGGAGCCCCGGTTACCCGTTAGGTTCTCCGCGACGGACGCCAGCATTAGTGGTCTATTTTGATACTGCTGCAGTGTGGTGTGTGGACTCCAATGTCTAGTGATACCACACCATAATGTCCCGGTGAAATACTTATTAAAAACGCCTCAGTGATTTCAGGTAAGGGTTAGCCCTTTATTTGAGGGTGTTTCTGAAGAAAAATTCATATACTGCTGTACTGTAATCGGTTATTAAAGTACATACCTTCAACCCAATGATGGGCTAACGTAGCGGGCGCCCTTTTTGACTTAGAGTAGGTGGCAATACACGACGCAGGCGCCCTCTGTACACAACGCTCGTGTACTGTGAACTTGCAGACTGAAAGAGAGAGAGTAGAAGGTATTTAGAAGTAAGTAGGTTAGATCCAGCTACCTTCCTTTTCCATCATCAGACCAGCTCCATGGTACCATATTATTGTATTGTCATCAAATCTACTTACAATACGGTAGATGCCTAATTTTTATTTTAATGTCCGTCTGGTAGATTATTTTAAATCATTAGACACGTATTTTTTATTTTCTTACAGAAACGAATACTTTCGACGGTTTAATGATTTGAAATGTCGCGTGACGTCACTTCTATGTACTGTATTTTACACGTAGAAATGACGTTTTAGCCCCCACTCTTAAACTTTGATTCGTTTTATCTAAGTATTGTTTTATTATACGATAAAATAAAAAAAAATACGTGTCTAATATTTTTTCATTACCCAACTTACGGACTAAATAGATTTTTAATTTTCATGCCCTGTCATCATCCCAATTACCAAGATTCCTGTATTAATATTATATTTTGTTTGTAAACAGACCCACGACACAAGATAAAATCCTAGAGTAAAGTAAAAAACTCGTAAGTGATGAAGCAGCCTACGATGGAGCACGCCTGCCTACATGTAACCTCGAGCCTATAGTCAGAATTTTAATTAGATTCCAGATTTTACATTAGCTACTGTCATTTTGTGAAATAATGATACCACATTTAATATTGTAGTGATGAACACAAAAATCGATAAACAATCAGTGTGTGTGTTTTATAATAAATTTTACAGAAAGTGACAGGATAGTGATAGCGATGACGGCGACAATTTATATAATAAATTATTACCATAATACACCTATCTGTTTTATTTGTCATATTCCTTCATGATTACATTTTTTTTATTTATTTCACACATAATTATAAAAGAAAAGTCTCAGATCGTTAATTAAACTGTCAAACACCAAGCGGTCACCGGTGACCGCAACCTATTGTTCTATAATTGTGTCTACAAAACCGGTACTCGACGAGTTAATCGTCAAAACTAAATTATCGGTTCACAAATATTTAATTTCCTGATATACTTTGTTTACCAGAGTAAAATTGTATACGAGAAGAATCGATCCAGAAATATTCCATTTACATAACGAATAATTTCGCAACGTCACTATTTAGTACTTGTCATAGCGTTGCAACACTGAAATTGTCAAATCTGGAATCGAATTAAAATTCCGAGTATAGAAGATACCCTGATTGATTACCTATATTCAAGTATCATATGTCAAGATACTCACAGATACAACAAAGTCCTTTCTTTCCAAGTCCAACTAGCATGTTCAGGCATAGATTACAGTAGGCCGGCCTGCTGAAATGTTTCAGTCGCCATGCATGCTCGCCATCCTCTTTGACATTTGTATCCAGTCCTAGGAGTACTAGGAGCGGTATTGTAGTCATTCTGTAAACAATATTGCACTTTAGTCTTTGGGGAGTAGAGTAGACAATTGTATGATTATGGTTGGGGTGATCCCGATTGCACTGGAAGCGGTATCGTAGTAATTCTGTAAAGAATATTGCACTTTAGTCTTTGAGGAGTAGAGTTGAAGATTGCATTACTGTTTCTGGGGGTGGGTCCACAAGTGCTATGAGCGGTATGGTAGACATTCTGTAAATCTTTATATATATAATTCTTCTGTGAGTGTGTATGTCACTGAACTTCTCTCAAACGACTGGACCGATTTTGATGAAAATTTTTGTGTGTGTTCAAGGGGACCTGGGAATGGTTTTATTCACAAATCAGCCCGACAGATGGTGCTGCAGTCGGTGTCTAGGTTAGTTATCCTAAACGGCTGAACTAATTTGAATGAATTTTTTTAACATTCAAGTGGATTTGCAGGACAACGTCTGTCGGGTTCGCTAGTAATTTCATAATTTAGTCCTTGGGGAATAAAGTAGACAATAGCATGATAATTCTTTTATGAACTATGATTTAAAAACAACTTCAACCCCGTCTTTTTCAAGTCGGTTAACTAATATACTGAAACCTTTTTCTGCGTAACACACACTTATCTGAAAACTGCAGCATCAGAATTGGTTCAGCTAATCGCGGGCAAACAAACATATACAGGTCGAACTAGAACCTCCTTCTTTTTGAAGTCAGTTAAAAATTTATAAAGTAATATACAAGGTGTAGTTTTGAAGCCGTGTCATTTCTCGGGGGCATGTCACAGAAGTCATAAAGGTTCAATGTAAGAGAAAATTTCGGGTCAGTAGTTAAAAATACGGCTACAATAAATCGTTTAAGTTCGACAGTATTACAGAATAAGCGACAGCAATGTTTCTTATTGGAGTTTTATGCAATTAGGAATAATATCAATTACGTGTTGGAGTTTGTGTGTGTTAAGTCGCGTTATAAAGCTAGTTACAAGACGGCGGCATGTACCTCGCACTTACGGATTTCCGTAATTTCAGAAAAATGAAAAATATTTACCAATTTTTTTTTTATTGATTCAGACTCAGAATCGATATCCGAGTTACCTCCTAGAAAATGACGCGGCTTTAAAACAACACCTTGTAGTTTACCGGATTTGTCAGACTCCTATTCTTTTTGGAAAGAGAATATTTCTGCTTACCCTCCCCGCTTCCATTCATCAAGCGACACGGTACCGTCAGCATCTTAGTCTATCTCCACCATCATGTCTTGTAGGATCTGCAAAAAAGTGTAACATAAGAAAAGAAACTATATACTCGGTACAGTGGGGTAGCGTTTCTTGGCGGGGGCCGGTATAAAATATTGTTTTGGGGCCCATATGAAGGGTAAAGATTTCTCACTATTCAACATTTTTTTAACTACAATTGCGGGTTAGTCACGTGAATATACTGAGCTCTACTAGTTTCGAGCCACAGAAGGGCTCTTCCTCATTGCGTGTGCGGTCGCGGCGACGTCGCGCAGCCTACAGTAGGTAGGCTTCTCTTTCATCTTTCTTTCTTAGTATGTCTCAAGATACCTAGTTATTATAAAAAAGTTTTGTATTTGTTGAAAATAGCTAACAATAAGGCCCCAGGTTGCTCATAGGCAGGAGTGATCCTTCCATATCATCGCTTACCACCAGGCGAGATGGTGGCCAAACGTCATCCTGGTAAGCAAAAAAAAAATAGATGGTTTCTACTCACCGGCCTAAGTTCCGAAGTCTCCCATCCAAGGTACTCAGCAACAGTCATCATTTGATTCACGATACAATCCATTTCATTTGTATCCAAAACGCCGTTACCGTCCGTGTCGTACAGCCGAAACATGACTGTAATGCAAACGT